AGAGAGAGAGAGAGAGAGAGAGAGAGAGAGAGAAAGAGGGTGGGGAGATAGCAAACAAACAAAGAGAGATAGGTTAGGGTGTTGGAATGGCATTAACACATTCAGACAATATTTTTTTGGGTTTAATACCTTGTGGTAAGCATATCCGTTAAGCTGTCAGTTTCGGAGCACCTATTGTTCGAAAAGCCTATGTACGTAAATGAATATCACTATTGTTATACACACCATCGACATCATTGAATGATTTATAGAACACTTTTCTTCAACCTTGCCTTTTAGAAAGCACTGCAAATACCAGAAAACTGACATAAGGTGTCCCCCCAAAGAACAAATTAAATGATTATATTCTTGCAAAGAGCACAATATGAGGCTTCGCAAACGAGAAATAAATGCTGAAAACAAGAGAGAAGCCAGCAAGTTGCGCACATACACAAGTGGAAGAGGAGCTTTTAAGTGCTCAAAATGTGGCATACTTTTGTCTGCCACAATTGGTCTTATCGGCCATACCACAAGCCACAAGTCATCTCAACTTTTAATAATTATTTTCTCGTTTGCTTTGAAAATATAGTACGCTCTTCTGCGGATACTTTTGACATTGGCTTTAGACATTTACGGTTTAACTACGATTATCAAGTATAGGAACACAATCCTCATTATCATCATCATCATCATCATCATCATCATCATCATCATCATCATCATCATCATCGTCATCATCATCATCGTCATCATCATCATCATCATCATCGTCGACTAAAAGATTGGCAGCGAAAAATGCACTGTTTCTTTTTTTTTCTTGAAATATAATAATTTGCACCACGTCAACACATGTTTACGTAACTTATAAATATCGACACCAGAACTAGGAAACAGGAACAAAAACGGGCGGAACACTGGACTCAAAGATCACATGTACAGGGTATATTTTGGCTGGAGGGTGGGGGGTACACTTGTATTAACCACAAATTGTCAGTGTGGAGAAACAAACCAAACTGTGCAACACATCCTTCAGCAGTGTTGCAGGATACAGAGCCCAAGGACATGAAACGTAGCAAACCCCATAAACACTACAGGAGAATCTCAACAGCTCAGCAGAGGAACTGAATAGAGCGGCCCAGTCAGTGCACTATTATGGCAGATGCCGGTTTTCAAGCATGATACGGCAGAGAAGGAGAACGAAAAGAATATTGCCTCTCAAAGCAGAGGAATCAGATCTCAATTGGAACCTACAGGGTAAACGATTAAGGGAAAGAGTCACAAAAATTTAGAGAGGAGTGGGAAGCATGGAATAACATCAGGCGGTTAGCCCAGGATAGGGAAAGGTGGAAAGTGTTTGTTTGTGGCTTATATCCTGATCTAGGGTGAGAAAGGCAATGATGATGATGAAAGCAGATGATACTACAGCATCACAAAAAAGGAGGTGGATACGCAATAGATATATTATTAACAAACTTCCCAAAGCCAGAAACAAACAAACCCGTCTTTTACACGCATTAACGAAAAACCTTACCGTTGCACCACAAAAAACCTTATCCCAGTAGCTTGGTGGGATTAAGAATTGATTAAATTCGAAAACAAACGAGCTCAATCATAATATTATTGATTAGTACGAAAACGCGTATCATGGCCCGCCCGAAACAATCCACTGACCAGATCGACTTGCAGTTTTGATCGGCAATAGAAGCAGATGAATGTCGCTTTTGATTTAATATATTGTTTCTCCGGTGCATGGCAAAAATGCTCCAAAATGTTATCGACGACGAACGAGTTCTGCTTAGCTATAGAGAATTAAAATTGTGTTTTTCGAATAACAACTGGGGAGTGTGTGTGTGTGTGTGTGTGTGTGTGTGTGTGTGTGTGTGTGTGTGTGTGTGTGTGTGTGTTTGTGTGTGTTTATTTCGATCTTTTTCAGGCTAAATATGTTTGCCGAAACACCAAAGAGACAAATGACGGAAACATTCTGTAACCGTTTCAATTGGGCATCGTGCTCATTAGGAACGTTTACACTCGTCACACGACTGCAAGAATGCAAATGAGCCAGTTTTCTCTTCGCCACAAGACATGTTTTACTTCACAGATGAGCAAAGTGTGAAATTTTTGCAAGGGCATAATATGTGGTCTTGGAGGTGAACTCGTTTCTCTGTTCCAGATAAACATTATGTCCTTTTTCAAATTAGCAAATCAACAGTTTCGGAGGTAAATAAGTAATTATAAAATTAGCCAATAGATGTATAATGCAGATATTTTAATGTTGTTTTTCTCCCTCATTTCATTAAGAAGCATTCGTTTTCAGTCCGGCCGAGTACCTTGGCCGTAAGGAAGGTGAGAGAGAGAAAGAGAGAGAGAGAGAGGGA